ACGTTACTAAAACTTAAACAAAAAATCTAACGTAAAATCTGTATTAAAAGCTGCAACCCTAATAGAAGTCGCACCCATTCTTTTGGAATAATTGAGAATAAAAAATTCATGATTTCTCATATGTGTAGGTGCTCTAATAGAAGCTGCATCCCCTCTTTTGCATTGTACCATTTTAATAGATGCCACGGTTTCTAATACAGATTTTACAGTACTATCTAAAATATAATATACTAAAATGAAATAAAATGTATGAAAAATAATAATTAAACTAGAAAAAAAAAGAGAAATACAAAAAAGAATAAAATAAATATTCTAAGATCTTATTTTAACACATTGCCTAATGAAACCAAAATGAATAAGAATAAATGGCGCATACAGGCGGTGTGTTGAAGATGTTTAATATACTTTCACAAAAACATTTCTTTTAACACTTTGAGGTTACTCTATTATAATCTATTAGCAATAATAAAAAACAGGGTTGTTTTGGGGAAAATCACTTGCTCATATTGTGCAGTTATCACAGGATGTACAAGAAAAATGTAAAATATGACCCTTCAAACATTTTTTTGAAAATCTGGATAATGATGAGCTTGGTAGGAAAAATTTGGAACGAATGAAAATCATTGCCTTTTTTATATTAAAATATTATTCATGTTTTAATAGTTTTGGTACATTAATACATATGATATAACTTGTTCCACACTTGCACTTGGAATAGATCCTGACATAGAAACTCCCTCAATCTCCCTCGGATATATTCAAAATAAAGGTTGTATCATTTTCTGAAAACAAATTTCTATTACATTGTACAGAGAATCTTGGAATTATACTTGATACATTAGATGAAAAAATAAATCCCATACAACTAAAGTAGTTCTGAGATATCCAAATTGATATGCAAATTGAGGTTACATATGTACAAGCAATGTTTTAACTTGTAGGTACCCCATCACATAAGTTTGTTCCCCGGGTTTGATCAAAACAATAGAGGGCGCCCTTGGAATTATACTTGATACATTGGATGAAAAAATAAATCCCATACAACTAAATTATTTCTGAGATATCCAAATTGATATGCAAATTGAGGTTACATATGTACAAGCAATGTTTTAACTTGTAGGTACCCCATCACATAAGTTTGTTCCCCGGGTTTGATCAAAACAATAGAGGGCGCCCTTGGAATTATACTTGATGCATTGGATGAAAAAATAAATCCCATACAACTAAAGTATTTCTGAGATATTAAAATTGATATGCAAATTGAGGTTACATATGTACAAGCAATGTTTTAACTTGTAGGTACCCCATCACATAAGTTTGTTCCCCGGGTTTGATCAAAACAATAGAGGGCGCCCTTGGAATTATACTTGATACATTGGATGAAAAAATAAATCCCATACAACTAAATTATTTCTGAGATATCCAAATTGATATGCAAATCGAGGTTACATATGTACAAGCAACGTTTTAACTTGTAGGTACCTCATCACACAAGTTTGTTTCCCGGGTTTGATCAAAACAATAGAGGGCGCCCTTGGAATTATACTTGATACATT